AAGGGGATCCTGAAAAGTCTGGCCAATGGTGTAAGAGGTATATCAAAGCAAATAAGTTTTAAAACACTAACAATTAGTATTCAGGATAAACAAAAAGTGAGAGTTCCAGGGCAAATCATGAATTTTTATATACAGTTGGATCCACAGGTATAATTAATTTACACAAATAGCTCCTACACACCTCCCAAGAAAAAGTACAAATAAGTACTGAAAACTGGGTTTTACTGAACTAGAAAATAATCGCCATGCTTAGGTTTAATACATTATCCGATCAAAGATGCTGTCCAAAAAGCAGCATGCATGGAGCTATTAAACTTTCAAATGTCTTCTAAATTCATCTCAGTGACACAACAGGCCACACAGTCATTTTTCCAGAATGAGTGCAGTATGTTCCCAGTATTACAGTCAAACTCAGTCTCTAATGATGGAGCAGCTCCAAACCTCAGAAGCATGATTCCAAATTAAAACTATGTACCAACATGCACATTCTCACTCACGGGGAAGCTAAAAATGTGGCTATCACTGGAGAAAAGAGAAGTGTGGTCACTCAAGGCTAGGAATGATAAAGGGGATGGAAGGGAGGGGGTCACTGAATACCAGATACCGAAGTAAGGCCAGGTGGAAGAGCCACGTTCTAATATCCCACAGCACAGTAGGTGCTATAGTTAGTTTACAATGATTTATTACATATAAGAAACTAAAAGAATTCCAAGTTTCCCAACACAAACGCTAAGTGCGGAGCTTTGAAATGCTAATTACCCTGATTATTACACACTGTGTACATATACCAAATTATCACACTTTACCCATAAATATGTGTATTATATGTCATTAAAAAATGTGTGTTCCAAAAAGTGGGACTAAATTACATGACTGTCAAGAAAGTTGTGAAACCAGTCAATGTGTATTACAATACACTGTTCAGAAGGAAAGCAGCACAAGCTAAAATTCTTTTCTTAAAGTTTGGAAAACAACCATCACATGTGCATGTTAGATATTTTCCTTTACATTTGCAGAAACATTTAAGTACATAATATAAATCAACTCTTAGGAAATATGCAGGGTACCTCTAAGAGTTCAATGATCTTTTTAATTTGCTTAATCTCTAAAAACTATGTTATAGGAGGGGTGTTTCTATGCCATGACACAGCTGGAAAGGGCATCTTCATTTCACTTAAAAGTTTAATGTGTAAAAATGCTGTGAGGAAAAGGCTGCTCTCAGTACACACACCTGCAGTGTGCATCACTGGGCAGCGCTGTCTACACAGGGAAAATAAGTCAAATTATAGCCATAAGACCTTTCAATGTCCTGTACAGAGAAATAAATGACTTCCAGATGGCACATGCCCCTACAGTACTCCCACCACTCTGGGAAGCTGAGGCAGGAGGACGTGATGGTCAAGACCAGCCTGGGAAACCCAGCAACCTGGCAAGACTGTGTCTCAAAATTTAAATTAAAAAATAATAATAATAAAAGGGAATGGGGATGAAGCTCAGTGAGAAGCCCCTAGGCCCAATCCCTGGCACAAAAACACAAATGAATACCAACACTCGAGGTCAAATATTTCAAACCATGTGTTTCCTCCTGGGCAGCACAGCTAAGAATTAGATGCAAACTAGTACTTTACACAGTTAAAAGCGTTCTGTAAAACAGTACCACAGAGTCAAAAAGGATCAGGGCTCCACTGGCTGGTCTCTCAAAATCAATCAGCATACCATCTTTTGTGCCTCTCACAGTGCTAATAGTAATTTTGTTTCCTACTTTTATAACTTCTAAAACCCGTTAAGACTTCTGAGACAATGAAACAATGCAAACCACTCAACTACATGAACAAAAACTTGGCCTTTTAACAATTACAAAATACAATCTAGTTCAGCATCACAGAAAACAAAACAGAGCAGCTACTGGTCTGCTAATTTTACAGCACTGGGAAAATCATAACCGCAATCTACATATCTTCCTGTCCTGAGGAATGTGGACATTTCCCTTCTTGGATTCTCCAGTCAAGGCCATTAGTAAAAACCTATAGATTCAGGCAAAAACAACCAGGTAAGAATTGTGTCATTTTTACTTCATAATAAAAAGCTGAAGTAATTTATGAATAGCTGAAAAGTTATCGTTGGCCAAGTATGGTAGTACATGCCTTTAATACCAGCACTCAGGAGGCTGAGGCAGGAGGATTACTGCAAATTCAAGTCCAGCCCAGGCTATACAGTGAGTTCAAGACCAGCCTGAACTACATCGCAAGACTCTGTCTCAAAAAAAAGCTACTGTCCAAACATTGTTCTTTTTGTGGTACAGGAGATCGAACTCGGGTCCCTGCAATTGCAAGGCAGGTGGTAGAACCACTGAGCTAAATCCCTGGCCCCGAAACATTGTTTTTATTAACAGTTACAATAAGATTTATTCTTTGAAACGCTCTCCTGAATCTGATTTTCCAAAACAAAAACCTAAAAAATTTTCAAGTGTTTTTTATTTGGTGGCCATTAGAAAATGCATAGGCTTTTTACTAAACCAAATATTCCACAGGGCAAAAAGAACTTTGGGGCCAGGGATGTAGCTCAGCAGCACAGCACCTTCCTGATAAGCTCAAGGTCCTGAGTTCGATCCCTGGTACCAAAAAAAAAGAACTTTGAACCAATTAAGATAAATCCTCTCCCTAATAGCACAAAGAAAGTTAAATAATCTAAGCTCAAGAGCTTTATCATTATTGTAAGCTTCCTCATATAACTTTCTAACATCTTAAAAACACCTACTACATACACATGAATATAGTTTTGTTACAGAATCTAATTACAGCAAACAAATGATAAGAAAATTCAGAAACCAATACTACTTAAGTCGAACTTTAAAACAGAATTAAAAATAAGTATTAATAAACCTCAAAAAAATTAAATACTCTAATGAGGGGGTTTTAAAACTTCTAACAGGAAAAGAAATGTTCGCCAAAACTGAATACTTTCCATATCAATAAAAACTCTTCAACAATCATCCAATTTTAAAAAAGGGCACCAAGTAGGAATAACAGTATTACTAGAGAGCCGGAATAACAGGCTGATACATGTGCCACTTCCAACTCCAGATCGTACACAACATCCTGGTAGAAGTACGGACTCAATGTTTAGCCTGGTATTGGACTAAACTGGGAAACAATGTACATACAACCAAACACTGTCTAAAGTGTTAATATTAACAATAGATAATTAGAACTACTGTACTGACACAAAGACCAAAGTAAAAAACTTAAAACAATGTATACATGAAACAAAATTTTAAAAGCTTTAAAACATTTAGAATACAACAACAATGTAAGCCTATTCAATAACATAACACAATGTACATAATTCAAAGGTACATAATTAGCAAACAATTCAAAATCCCCCAATATTAAAGAGTGGTTAAAATGAAAAGATTCCTAGTACTCAGTGTTGAGGCCTTCAGGCAGAGTAATCTGACACATTCATGGGTCAACAGCAGACCACCCATTCCAAACTTTAAATATTACTACATAAAATTACCACATAACTTAAAAGACAGAAAATGTTAAAAGGAAATGAAAAATATACTGAAAACTGCACTTTAGGAGAAGTCTAGAATCACTGAAAAACAAACCAACATCACATAAACCTATGAATTACCTTAGAAAATGGGGAGAAAGCCTGGTTTATTTCTCCATGTGAGACTGATTTACCTTTATCTAATCTGAACTTACAGAAGTTATTGCTCCAAAGTTTATAGTAATAATTTCTTTGCTTTAAAAAGAAAAACTTATTTTTCTATGTACTAACATGACACCAAAGTAATTTCTAATTCAGAATAGTTTAGCCTTGCATAAAGTTAATAACCTTCTTCTTTCCTTTATTTACTGCAGTACTGGGGACTGAACTCACGGCCTTCTCACTGAGCTATATCCCCTGCCTCTTTCTTGAGACAAGGTCTTGCTAAATTGCCAAAGCTGGACTTGAACTTTTGATCCTCTTGCCTCAACCTCCCAGTGCTGGGATTACAGATGTGAGTCACACGCCCAGCTACTATCCTTATTCCTCCAGCTATTTAAACTACAGACTCTAGAACAGTGCTGTCCAACAGAAATATAATAGAAATCACATGTGTTACTTTGAATTTTTAAACAGCCACTTGGCCAAGAAAAAACAAAATAATCCTGGGGCTGTGGCCCTAGCTATCCAGAAGGCTGAGGCAAGACAACTGCTTGAGCCCAGGAATTTTGGAATAGGTAACATAGAGAGAACCAGTCTCAAAAAAAAAACAGCCCAGGGTCCCGAGTTCTATCCCCGGTACCAAAAAAAAAAAAAGTAAAAAATAAAAAAACATAAAAAATTAATTTAACCAACAATATCCAAAATTATCACTTTAACACATAATCAACTTTAAAACTGATAAAATAGTTTAATCTTTTCATATCGCGTCTTCAAATTCTACTGTGCATTTTACAGCACATTCAAATAAGACTAGATTTATTTCAAGATATCAAGTTATATGTGGCTAGTGGTTACTGTACAGGACAGCACAAGTCTAGAGTTCTTTCTCTGGTTTTAGGGTAGATATACAAAATATGATACAAAATTGGAGCAAAGAATGTACCAACTTTGTAGGGCTGGGAGGGACAGCAGGCCTGGAATGCAATGTCCCAATTTTCAAGGCAATCCCCTATGTGCTCGGGAGAGTCCCTATTTACACCTGCTACAACAACATCATTATTAATAGCACCAGCTGGAATTCTCACAAGTACTCGACTCTGGATGACAAGTTCTATGGCCCCTCTACCTATATCTGTAATACCCTTAAAGATGACTCTACACTCCTTGGAAGAAAATTCAGTATTAAGTCTAATTCTGATGCCTGGAAAAGCAACTCTACAGTCAAAGGAAAGAACCCTAAATTCACTACCCTCATCATCCAAAAAGAAAAAAAAAAGTTGCTGAAAATTCTTTTCATTTTAAATTGCAGACTAAAAAAAAAAAAAAAAAGTAAGAATTACCTGTTGAACAAGGCATCTGGAAATTGGGATCATTGCTATCCAAAACAGGCAAACAGAACTGGTTACTCGCAGATCCTAGCATAGGATCCTTATCGCTGAGCATGTTCTTCAGCGAGTCCTCTAAGACATTTTGACTTGCACTAAAATCCTCACAGACTTCATTCTCCAGGTTGGATCCTAGAAATAGGGCATCATCTAAGTGTTCAGTAGGAATTAAATGATTAAATGTATCAACTATATCCATGAAGACTTCTGTGTGTCTTTCAGCCCTATAGAAAGACAAAAAAAATACCATAAGAAATAAAGCTACCAATTGAAAATCACCTATACCAAATTATTTTAATAGTTTTGAGTCTAAGAACACACTTCTGAATTTTTGTTTTAAAAAAAGTCCTCACTGTTTTTAGAATATACATTTGGAATTGTGGAACGAATCCTTACTAAATTATCTTTATCATGCATGTATTATTTTACCAGAAATCCTACAAGATGTTTACTCAATTCATTATTTCTAGGGAAAAAAATCATGTATAGTTCATTAATTTGTCACATTTGAAAGAATTACATGGCTTAAACATAAAACCATATGTTTTAACCATAACACTTTCATGAATTAAAAATCAAACACTGCTTTTAGAGTAGGTCCACGTACAAGAACTAAAATCCAATCATTTAAATGATTTACAGGAAGGTAATGTATAAACCAAAAATTGTTTTGCAAGGGTAGAGGAGGAAAATGCAAAGAAAATATTAAACCCAACAAACCAAAACAAAAACTACAGAGGCACTCAAAGGCGTGCACATGCAAACATATTCTCCTGCGGGTCCCCTTTTAGGACAAAATGAAAAGAATTACAAGAAAACAATCGCACGTATTTAAATTGATTTTAGTGAGTTTTATCTACACGAGTTGCAAATTAGTCTCCCACTTGAACTTTACCTACAAGGTATTTATTATTCAGCAAGTTATCTCAAATTTTAATGGAGAATCAACTATAAATTCAATTATTGAATTATTTTCCATACTGGTTTCAGATACAGCTGAACCAACATATCTTAGGGCATGAAGAGGAATCAACCAAAAAAATTAATATTCAGTTAGAAAATTCCATTGATTAAACAGAATATCCTGAGCTCTGTAATTTCAAAGTATTTTAGATATGCTACAAATCTACCGAAACTCTCAAACTGGCCTTGAATTCTTCCCCTATAAAAATGAGAGTAGAAAACTCAGATACTCTACCGTTTACTGGGTATATATCATATGCCACACTGTGATAAACATCTTGCCCAAATTTATAATTTAACCCCCAAAATGAATAGAATCTATTATCATCTTTGTTTTGTTGCTGTTGTTGCTTTGGGTTTAGTATTTTACAGGAATGGGGACTGGGCTCAGGGCTTTCTTTTTGAGATACATCTCACGCCTTTCATTTTTGAGACACAGTCTCACTAAACTGCCCACACCTTGTTTTACCAAAAACTGCACTTAATTTAAATATCCTCCCACAGCCACAAAGTGTAGCCCAGATACTGAGCCAACGTAAAGGCCAGGTTCTCACACTGCACTAAGAAGGACCCAGGAAGGCCTGACTCTGAAGGACCTCTGCGCACAGAGGTTGACCCCTTGCTACACAGAAGACTGTGGTGTCTCTTCTCAAAGTCGGCTATGTATTTACATTGAAATATTAATGAAAGTGAGTAACTATTTTACTGACTCACTGGTTATTTTATATGCATTCTTGCTGACCAAAAGTTAGAAAAATTTCCTTTAAGAACTCCCTTTAGCTACATGATCTAAGCACCTAAGAAAGATTCAATTATACATTACCAATACTTCTACTTTGTTTTTTGGCTCCAAAGAAATTCCAATATAATAAATCTAATTAAAAATAAATTATCGGGGGCTGGGGATTTAGCTCAGTGGCACCGCACCTGCTTCACAAGCGCAAGGTCCTGAGTTTGATTCCTGGTACCGGAAAAAAAAAACAAAACAAATAAACAAAAAATAAATTATCAAAAGCAATGACTAATGTTTACAAAATTAAGTAGACCAGACTACCAATTAATTCATTTATCTGGATATGTTGGACTCCAAGCTTTAACACAAGCCAAAACTACTCTCTCTTCAGAGTTGCATCCAACTAGTCATTTTTCCTCAGATGAATCAAAAAGAAAAAGGCAACTCCAGCTCTAGAAATAAATTGCTAATTTCCCTTCTAAAAATCATATGCTGCTGGGGATTTAGCTCAGTGGTTCCGGCACCTGCCTTGAAAGTGCAAGGTCTGAGTTTGATCCGCAGCACCAAAAAAATAAATAAAAAATAAAATAAAAATCATATGCTGAATCTACTGGAAAAAAATACACTTATTCCCATAGCAACACAAGGCTAATAAATTCAATAAACTTCATCTGATGTCTTTCTGTTACACCAAACATATTGTGGGCTTTCAAGTTTTGGAAACATTCAGAACCCTCAGAAGTTATGATGACCCAACTCAAGATCACAAAGCTTTATGGAAGACCAGCCCATTCTAAACAATCTTCTAAATGAGTGAGAGTTTTCCCCAATACTACTACTGTTTATGAAAACATACTAGGGCCAGGGATTTAGCTCAGTGGTTCCAGCGCCTGGCGAGCTCGAGCACAAGTTCCTGAGTTCAATCCCCAATACCAAAAAAAAAAAAGAAAACATACTAAAAATCTTTAACCAAAAGTGCCTTCAGAGGCTGTGGCCAATTGTTTAAACTCAAAAGATAAGACCTAGTCTTTACAAACCAATTAAAAAAAAAGAAAAGGAAAGCCAGGAATTTAACTCAGTGGTTCCACCGCCTGCCTCACGAGTGCAAGGACCCAAGTTTGATCCCCGTATCAAAACAAAAAGAAAAAATAAGAACCAAACATACAAAAAAGTAAATCATGCTCTACATGAGTGAATCATACTTTCCAGTAGTTTTTGTAGTCAAAGCTGGTAGGTATGGCTCACAAGATGTGTTTCCCTAGACTGACATGATAGGGATTATCAAGAAAAAAGGTTTCTATGGTCAAAAGTGGAGAAAGACTAAGTATAACAAAGTTACATTTCTTTAGCAATACCTTTTCTTTATTCAACTGATTTTTACTAAACAGCTACCACTACATGAGACACTTTATTAGATGAATGGGAATCTTCTAAAACAAAACAATATAAAGCACCCCAAATTTATGGATCCAAAGAAGACACTTTCAAAGGGATACATCCATCATAAGCTAGTATTCTGTGAAGTACATTTTAAGGAAAATTTGTTACAAACTGTGAGTCTGTTTTTCTTTAGGTGCTTCCTGGCTGTGCAACCAATTCCAAAGGAAAAAACTCTTCAAAATGCTAACACAGCCATCTAACACAACTATCTTGAAAGTAACATTTATCAGAGGCACAATTTATATTAAAAAGTCAGTTTCAGATATTAAATGCTCACTATAAATAATAAAATTAAAATGTTAAGTGGAAGAGCAAATGTTAATTGTGGAAATATTTAGTCAAAATGGACATACTAATCTACTAAATGCAATGTGCACTGAGTCACAGAACAGAAAAAGGACAGCAGTTTAAAAACTGGTGAAATCATAATAAAGTATGCAATTTAGCTAATAGTAAGGTAGTAAAAGTAATCTTAGTTCTGCTAAAGGCACTAGAGTGTTATGTCAGATGTTAATTAGGGAGATTTTCAGGTGCAGTAGTGCACACCTGTAACCCCAGCGATCCAGTAGGTGGAGGCAGGAGGTCCACATGTTTAAGGCCAGTCTAGGAAACACAGGAAGACTCTTGTCTCAGAAAAAAAAAAAAAAAAAAAAAAAAAAAAAATCAAGGAAACTCAGTGAAGGGTATCCAAGGTATCTATACCCTCAATGCCACTTTCCTGTACATTTAAAATTATTCCAAAATATTACATAGTAATGCAGGAAAACAAAGATAATGAGATCTAATTAAGGACAAAAATAACTGATTTAGTATCTTTGTTAATTCAGAGTTCTTGATTTTATCAAGTTCCTGTTTCTTTCTTTTTTTAAAGTAGGAAGATATTTATTGATAGGAAAGCGTCTGAGGGGCAGGAGGGGTAAATTCCTGTTTCTTAAAATGAAATTCTAAATACTTCCTAACATTTATCATTCTAAATTTATTAAGACATAGCAAGTTTACACAGAGTGCAGCCCCCCCCAACCAGGGATCAAACTCAGGACCTTGCGCTTGCAAGGCAGGCACAGCACCACTGAGCTAAATCTCAGCCCCCACAGAGTATTTTAAATGCCTAATATATGTGTATATCTAGTTAAAGCAGTATCAATGTCAAAATATACATACTAAAGTCAGAAATTATTTGTGTGCTCAGAATCAGACCTGTTTACAGATATGAGACTGCAAGTAGCTAAGTCAGAGATGGATAATCTGCTTACAATTTAAATTACCCATTCATTCTTACATTTATTAAATACCTGTGGCAAAGCATCATCATTAGCACCAGTGAAAAAAAACCCATGCTTGGGCTGGAGATTTACCTTAGTGGTTCCGCTGCCTGTCTTGAAAGTGCAAGGTCCTGAGTTCAATTCCCAGTACCAAAAAAAAAACAAAACCCAGGCTCAAGGCCAAGGAACTCAGGATATAAAAATATACCAAAACAAAGGTACGTAAAACATCTAAACAAAATGTGAAATGCCATATGGGAGTAAAGCAGGTACTGTCATAAAAGGTCAAGAAAGGCTCATTAGGAGATGTAGGAGCTGGATCCTAAGTGTCCAGAGGACCCTCCCTGTGAAAGGAAAGCAGATGCTAATTACGAATGGCTACAGACTGTTTATAAAGACTAGGAATATAAGTACACTAGTACTTAGTACTAACATTCTAACTAAACTTTAAGCCCAAAGATATTTCCCATTTTAAAATATTTGCTTCTGCTGGGCATGGTGGCACACATCTGTAATTCCAGGACTGGGGAGGCTGAGGCAGGAGGATCACTGCAAGTTCAGGGCCAACTTGGGCTAGTGAATTCAAGGCAGCCTGAACTACACAGTGAGATCCTGTCTCCAAAAAAACAAAAGAAAAATATTTTATCAGTAACTCAAAAAATTATACTACAGCCAAATTCAGTACATAATAATAAAACCAAATTATATTATTTTCTACATGTTTCAGGTACAAACAGAATGATAAAATAATTTATTTTAAAATGTACAAATTTATAACAAAAAATACATTTCTATAAAAACCCACTTTAAGATTTAAAATGTCAAC